TAAAGTCATCTCTGCAAAGAAGTCAGGTTTTACATTTAATGAAGCAGATGTATATTCGAATGAAAACTTCAAAGCTATTGCATGGTTAGATAATGACGATTGCTTTAAGAAAATATTTAAATTCAGTGACTCAAAGATGTCAATAGATGACCTTCGTGGAATGTTACCATCGACGTTTACAGTTGAAGGTTCAGCAGGATTGCTTACAAGATTGTCAATTGGTGGTATTTGGTCTCGTGAGAACATTGTTATAAAATCCAGTATAAGTGAATTTGCTGAAGAATCTATATTATGTCTTTCAAACTACATGTATTCGCCACCGAAGCATTATAGTATAACAAACTTTGTCAGTAAGTTTAACATAAGACTTGTCGAACCTTCTTCAATGAAAGATGTTGTGCTACCTAAAGATGGAAAGGATGGACTCATTATTGAGATGATTTTAATAGCATATTAAATGAGCTTGTTCTTGAAGGTCATTCATGATGAAATAACTGTTGTAGAAGATGTTAGCAATTGTTCAGACATTTTGAAGCGAATAGATGATATAAGAAAGAAGTTTATGAATGAGAATGTTTATGTTTCATTGACTTTCTCCAGTAACGAGAACTTTTATGAGATAATATTGAAGAGAGATGATTTTAATATGGTGTAAATGGTAGCTTGGGCAGCTTTAGGCGCAATGGGAACAAAAGCATTAGCATTTGGAGCAAAAGCACTTGGAGCTTATGACGCAGTAAATAAAATGAGTGGAGGAAGAGTTTCGAAGACATTAGATGCAAATAAAGGAAAGATTGGAGGCTGGGTTGCAAAGAAGTTAAGATTAAATAAAATAGGACTCATAAATAAAGCATCCAATTTGGTTGCGACTGAGTCAGAAAATGCTTTAGGAAAGGACGATGAGTTTGCAAAACACGCAAAAGACTTTAATGACCAGATGAAAGGTGAAACAATGCATTTAAATAGAGTCGATGGAACTCTTCCTCCACCAGTAGTTCTTCCGTATGGTCCCTATGGAATGTATGGAAACCCTTACGAAAGACCATTTGACCCATTGACTGGTGGAAGTAATTGGTATCATTACGGACGAAGAAGAAAGACAGTCAAGTTGGAGACAGACGTGAAGAAAGCAACTAAAAAGAAACCAAGGAAGAGAGTTATAAAGTAATGAATTCAACGGGTGAAAAAAGAGGTGAAAAAACAGGTGAGATCTCACCACTTCACCTAAATTTATTTTTGTGCTATGTTTTCATACGTGTGAGGGTGGTGATATCATTAATTTTTAAGTTTATTTTTAAAATTATTTTTATTTTATTTGGATGTAATGACAGAACAAAAGCAACTCATACAAATCAAAACATATAACAAACATACATTTAAACATTTATTCTTCCTTCCTGAGCATAACATGTTCTTTCAAATACATCCGAGACCAGTTGACTTTTCATTGACTGTTTATAAAGATAGAAATAGTTATATCATTAAACCATACGATGACGAAGGTAAGTTATGTAAATTGTACGTTAAGAAGTTAGAGAAAGTTTATGGCTTCAAGTATGACTACAATAGGGTTAACACTGATGATGAAGATATTGAGGAAAATTTATGAGAACATTAGTGAAGTTGTTAGTGAGAACGATAGTGAGGTGAAATTGTTGGCGGCTTTGTAAATATTTAAGGTTAAGTTATTTTTTGCGTTCATGTTGTAAAATATACGTTAATGGTTTTGTAAAGTGTCAAATTCACAAGTATTGGGTAAGGTGGAACGCAGTGCCACCATACCCAACTTAACCATACTAACTAAGTACGCAGATACTTCAAAGAAAATCATTTCACCAAGACGCGATTAGAGCATGCCGGGCCAGAAACAGCAGTAAGATATTGGGCGCTTTCACCCAATCTTATCTGGCACGCAGATGTTCATTATTTTAGGGGTGTTCGTGGCCAGTATATTTATGGCATAATCGACGATTTTAGCCGCAAAGTCCTAGCGTGTATACAAATACCAGATATGCTGGCAGCGACGACAGCGAACGTTGCGGCTTCCGCCTTCATTGAATTTGGCGCCCCTTATTGTTTCTGGACCGACAACGGTTCAGAAAATAGGGGCGCCTTTCAAGATCTACTTGATCTTTGGGGCGTCCAATGGCGGCATACAGACTCTCATTCTCCCTACCAAAATGGGAAGATTGAGAGATTCTGGCCGACATTGGAGCGCTGCCAAAGCATTCAGGCTATCCCTGCCTTTATTTGGGAGTACAATAATAACACACCGCATGAAGATCTCCCAATTAATCCATTAACTGGAACAAATTACACGCCAAATCAAATGTATCAGCTGAAACCGAAATACACAAATGCAGATACAGAAAGGTTGTGGCAAATATGGGATACAGATACAGGCATGACCGCTGTTGACACATTCACAGCGTAATAATAAACATAATTTTTTAATTACATTTTTAACAAGTTTTTTTAAATGTATGTAATGAATAATTCATTAGAATATGATAATGCACATTGTAACAGAATAGAACAATCACCAAATTTTTTTTTGAAATTAAAAAATAAAAGTAAAAGATAAAGTAATCTAACCAAAAAAGATATTTAAAAGAATTTTGGAAAAAACAGAAAAGGATAATGATATTATTTTAGATACACAATCGATGTACTGAAGAATAATCCGGTAAAATGATGATATAAAATTAGATTATTTTACAAGTAGCTAAAAGAATAAAACTATAATATAAATAAATGAAGTTTAATGAAACAATAAAGGTTAAATAAATAATAAAGATTTTTATTGTATATCAGTATTGAGAAGAAGTAACAGCTGACACTTGTAGACAACTTCTTTATGTCTAGAAAATTCTATCTTGCCTTTTATTTTTTTCTCGCTGTGAAACGTATTCGGTCTTTTTTTTAAAAATTAATTTTTTGTTAGAGATAAGAGCTAAAACTCGGTAAACAACTTCTTTATGTCTAGAAAATTCTATCTTGCCTTTTATTTTTTTCTCGCTGTGAAACGTATTCGGTCTTTTTTTTAAAAATTAATTTTTTGTTAGAGATAAGAGCTAAACTCGGTAAACAACTTCTTTATGTCTAGAAAATTCTATCTTGCCTTTTATTTTTTTCTCGCTGTGAAACGTATTCGGTCTTTTTTTTAAAAATTAATTTTTTGTTAGAGATAAGAGCTAAAACTCGGTAAACAACTTCTTTATGTCTAGAAAATTCTATCTTGCCTTTTATTTTTTCTCGCTGTGAAACGTATTCGGTCTTTTTTTTAAAAATTAATTTTTTGTTAGAGATAAGAGCTAAAACTTTGCAGACAACTCCCCCATGTCTAGCAAATTTAACATTCGTCTCCCATTTTTATATATTTGGTTTAGAATGTTCGAAAATGCGTAATATGGTTATTTATATTATTTGAAAAGAACCTTGAATTAATTCAATCTGATCTCACAAAATATTTTAAATTAAAACTTTGTAGTTTGAATAGGTAATTAGTATTAAACTCAAATAACTAGTTTATTTTTGAATAAAAATTATTTGAATTTATTCAATTTTGTGAATTTTCCTTCAAAAATCAAGTTTAAATATCTTATTTGCCATATAATTATAAATACAATGAAACATATTCGAAATTGAAAAGAATGACTTTTTCTGTTCTTTCAATCATTCAATTTGAATTTTGCAATATTGGATTTCTCATTAAATAGCTATTAAAAACAACAAGCAATTTAACTTACATTCAAATTTATTTGTGTTATATTCAATCTTCTCAAAACTTATAATTTTCGGCTATAGCATGATTATATGCTATATAATATAATAAACCTATAATAGTATCATTCTTTCAATTATTTGAAGAGAAAGCCGAAAAAATCTATTTTCGGTCTATAACACTTTGAACGAACTTTCGATTTTTCTATCAAATTCACATTTCCATCAATAGATTAGCTACAAGTCATGATTTATCGTATTTATGTAGAATCTAGCCAAACCTACCATTAATATATTAGCGCTAATTATTTATCAATATCGAATTGTATTATCTTAGAAAATTCTCTATAGTAACTATAAACATAACTAAATTGGGGGTATCTGACTTATAAAAACTAGATAGATATCAAAAATAAATCAAAATTTTATTTTTCATTAATTAAAAAAGATTTATAAGCCGTATGAGTACTCGAAAGCAACTTGAGGAGCTTTCATTTGTATTTGGGTTCGATTACATCATATTTCTTTCTATGTTTGGGTAGAAAATAAGCTGATTATTTTTTTGTTTGGATTACTGCAATCACAATGTAGGGATCATGCTGTGCTCCTTTAGTATTTGGTATCTTATTGTTTTCACAGATTAAAGAACTGTTCATGATTAAAATTGAATTTGAAATTCTTTTTCGTTTCATATTTCACAACTCATTTTGAAAAAAAGTTCATCTAGCCTCCGTGTGATAGGGAAATGCATTATATTTGTCATCTATTAGTGAGATTTCTTATACTCAACTAGACAACAAAAAGTGTCACCCCCGCCACTACAAATTTAGGTTGTCACTTTTCCCGCCATTTGCCCATGTATATAATAAGATGCTATAATCGATATTTATATCAAAGGTATTCCAGTTTCATGCTAGAATATATTTCAGGTAAAAATAAAAAATAAAAGAGTAAAATTTATGATGGAAGACTTTGTGAATCTTTGTGGAAAATGGGTAGAAACTGAAGTTGTTTTAGTCTCAAATAACATTCTATATACTATTGGTATCTGCCTTTATAAAGATTCAATTGCTAACGCATATTTATATTTTAAATATAATGATTGTTACGTTAGTATTTTCAAAATTAACTTTTCTATAACAGCTAAGACAGAATTAGGTATCATTACCCTTTACTTTCAAAATTATGATAATCTTTCGATTCAACTTCTTAGTCGGAGTTTACGTTTTGGGGATATTATACAATCACAAATTTCCATTTGTTCGCGTATATCATCAATGTATGAAGATCAGTTTTATAATGAAAATTTGAGATTTTTACATTCAGTTGGAAAAGTAAACAACAATATTCCTTTCGTTGAATACCTCGCTCCACTATTTCCACTCGATTTCTATCCTGCTGGTGATAAGACTTGGAACAGAAGAGTAGATTTCTTAAACAGACAGTATTTTACAAAAATGGAAGCTTCCAAAATCTCAATTATTACATGGAATGTTGCAAGTAACATTCCTCCTGTTAATCCTGATGAATGCGAGTTCATTTTTGATGCAAAAGAACCAATAATTTGTATTTCTCTTGAAGAAGTTGAAATGTCTGTTCAATCTGCCATGATTGGCAATTCTCCTCATCTTGAAGACTGGCACAATGTTTTTATTAAAGCTGGACTTAAAAATGGTTACAGATCAATCCATCATTCAATGTTAGGCAGCGTTTATGTAGAAATTTTTATTAAAAATGACTTACATCACAAATCAGAGATCATTGGCATTGAAACCATTCGTTTTGGAGGGGCAGGAACTCTTGCAAATAAATCTGCTATTTTTGTCACTATGAAAGTGGCGGAAACAACCATATCTTATTGTGGTTGTCATCTGATTCCCCACAGAGAGAACTTACAGGTTCGAAACGAACAGCTGCAAACAATAATTTCAAAATTAAACGAAATTGATAGTGATTACAAGTTTATCAGTGGTGATCTTAACTATAGATTGCAGCTAGATTATGACGACTGCATTAATATCTGCTTGGAAAATGGAATCAGTAAATTATTACCTCATGATGAGCTTTTGCAAGAAAAATTCCCTATCATTGAAGGCGAGATTGCGTTTTTACCAACATATAGGTTCGATAAGAATTCACAGATCTATGATACTAGCAAAAAACAAAGAGTCCCTTCTTATTGTGATAGAATTATAGCGGTTAAGAACGAAAATCTTAAATTCGAAACAGAATCAAATAATATGATATTTGAAACCGATATTATAAGGGATACGAAGATTGGCGAGTTTGCAGGCGAATCTTATTTTGGTGTTTCAACTGGAGAACCAAACTACCCAATATCTCCAAAGCCAATCCAGTATAGATCCTTCAAAAATGTTACAATTAGTGATCATCGCCCGGTAAATGCAGTTTTCGAATTTACTCTTTGTGTAATTGACGAAGAAAGAAAGAGTTTATATCTCAAAATCAAAAATAAAAGGAGAGATGAGCTTTCAATGTTGTCTATTCCACATCTTACCGTCGATAAAAGAAGTTTCGTTCTGAAATCAGATGACCAAATAGAATTAATGAATAATTCGTGTGCAACTGCTGAATGGAATATAGATAAACTAGACACACTCGATATATCACCACTCAAAGGTACTTTGCCCCCTGGAGAAAAACAAGTCCTCAAAATATCTCCGATCAACTTGAAAGATTTCGAACTCGTAACTATTAATATTAATGAAGGTAATCCATTATTCTTGGAAATCTTAGAAAAAGATCAGAACCATAAAGTATAAAAGTTCTGACAACCGAAAATGTCAGAGATTAAAATATTTACATCTATTGTATTTATTTTTTATCTTTTATCTTTATAATTCACTCGATAAATATAGCAAAACATAATTCTTACGATTGTTTATATATCATTCTGATAAAAACTTTCATCGTCCAATCATGAGTTTACCGATAGAACCTCTCAATTAATTGAAATGATCTGATACTCTAAATTAAAAATTATTTCATCTGATGGAATATTAAAAATATTACAACCATTATCAACCAACAATCTAATGGCACTTATATCATCGGAATAAGAAAATCGTCGATCTCGTTAGAATATTAATTTATGGTTATTTCTACAATTAATTTGTGATGGTTGATAAAATTATTTCTGAGCATTGAAAAAAACTATAATGAGAGGGTGTCCAACCAAAGATTTAACGATGATTTTGGCTCCAAATTTGGTATATGATATGGGGATGGTGTCTAGGTCAATACTATTGTATTCACTAGTAATATAAAATGTTCAATTTTGAGATATAAAATTATATGAGGAAAAAATTTATTTTTTTGAAAATATTTGAAAAATGTCAAGAAATGTAATAGTAAAAGAAGAAAATTAAAAAAGTAAATAATGAATATGGGAAATTTTTATGGAAATGTTAGAATTATATAATTTGCGATTTGGTCAATTAAAGCAAAATGAGTAATTTAGCATGATGATGGATTTTAGAAGGGGGAAACACAAATTAAAATCTAATAGGAACGTCAATATGAAATATAGAAATAAACTATGTGGTGTAAATGAACGGTTTTTGCACCTACAAAGAGAGGTATCAGGTTCAAATCTCATCTAATTATTTTTTTCTCCCAATTTTGATTGTTTGATATATCAAGAAAATTAACAAATATATATATGAATTAATGAATAATTAAAGAATTAGAATGATTTTAATAATATTAGAATAATCATGGATAAATCAATCTCAGATTTAAGATATTTGACAAATAATATAAAATATTGAAGATTCTTATGTCGGTATTTAGCATTCATTGTACAAAAAAGAAGTAAATCAAGTGGATCCTTTGATGATCTTAAAAGATTTTGTTTGAGAGTATTTGAGATATGATACAATAGATTTCATTGAGAACATCAGTGCAAATGTAAGATAGGGATAGAAAATATAATGGTTAATACAATATTATTATATTAAAAAAATGAAGTTCAGAAATTTGAAAGAAAATAGTGGTTTATGAAAATAAGTAGTTCAAAATTTGTCATTGTGGGAGACATTGCCAATGCATGTCTCCCGGAATGGCATAATATTTTGCAATCAGAGTGTGATTGCAAAACTTTGACCGACAAGAGTGTGTTATGCACTCTTGTCGGTCGCAATGTGTCATTCTGGGAGACATTGCCAATGCATGTCTCCCGGAATGGCATAATATTTTGACATCCAACACTCAGTCTCTCTTTGACATCCAACACTCAGTCTCTCTTTGACATCCAACACTCAGTCTCTCTTTGACATCCAACACTCAGTCTCTCTTTGACATCCAACACTCAGTCTCTCTTTGACATCCAACACTCAGTCTCTCTTTGACATCCAACACTCAGTCTCTCTTTGACATCCAACACTCAGTCTCTCTTTGACATCCAACACTCAGTCTCTCTTTGACATCCAACACTCAGTCTCTCTTTGACATCCAACACTCAGTCTCTCTTTGACATCCAACACTCAGTCTCTCTTTGACATCCAACACTCAGTCTCTCTTTGACATCCAACACTCAGTCTCTCTTTGACATCCAACACTCAGTCTCTCTTTGACATCCAACACTCAGTCTCTCTTTGACATCCAACACTCAGTCTCTCTTTGACATCCAACACTCAGTCTCTCTTTGACATCCAACACTCAGTCTCTCTTTGACATCCAACACTCAGTCTCTCTTTGACATCCAACACTCAGTCTCTCTTTGACATCCAACACTCAGTCTCTCTTTGACATCCAACACTCAGTCTCTCTTTGACATCCAACACTCAGTCTCTCTTTGACATCCAACACTCAGTCTCTCTTTGACATCCAACACTCAGTCTCTCTTTGACATCCAACACTCAGTCTCTCTTTGACATCCAACACTCAGTCTCTCTTTGACATCCAACACTCAGTCTCTCTTTGACATCCAACACTCAGTCTCTCTTTGACATCCAACACTCAGTCTCTCTTTGACATCCAACACTCAGTCTCTCTCTTTGACATCCAACACTCAGTCTCTCTTTGACATCCAACACTCAGTCTCTCTTTGACATCCAACACTCAGTCTCTCTTTGACATCCAACACTCAGTCTCTCTTTGACATCCAACACTCAGTCTCTCTTTGACATCCAACACTCAGTCTCTCTTTGACATCCAACACTCAGTCTCTCTTTGACATCCAACACTCAGTCTCTCTTTGACATCCAACACTCAGTCTCTCTTTGACATCCAACACTCAGTCTCTCTCTTTGACATCCAACACTCAGTCTCTCTTTGACATCCAACACTCAGTCTCTCTTTGACATCCAACACTCAGTCTCTCTTTGACATCCAACACTCAGTCTCTCTTTGACATCCAACACTCAGTCTCTCTTTGACATCCAACACTCAGTCTCTCTTTGACATCCAACACTCAGTCTCTCTTTGACATCCAACACTCAGTCTCTCTTTGACATCCAACACTCAGTCTCTCTTTGACATCCAACACTCAGTCTCTCTTTGACATCCAACACTCAGTCTCTCTCTTTGACATCCAACACTCAGTCTCTCTTTGACATCCAACACTCAGTCTCTCTTTGACATCCAACACTCAGTCTCTCTTTGACATCCAACACTCAGTCTCTCTTTGACATCCAACACTCAGTCTATCTTTTAAATACAACAATAATTTCAAACAAATACTTTAATTTAATGATTTATTATTCCTATATGCTTCCTAATCTTTTCTTGTAGATGCTACAATGCTCTGAAAATTTTCATCATCTTCCAGTTCAAGGACGAAATGTAATTTATCCTCGGCGTCTAAAAATCCCTTGAAATTATTAACAATTTGTTGATATAATGATCTTGCATAATGGATATTATAAATCCTATAAAGTTTTGCAATTAAAGCAACCATCATATCATCGGCTGCACTGGTTTCTATACTATCCATCAATGAAAAATCATAATTCATTCCTCTTGTTTTTATTTGTGTTTGTTGATCATTTTGATTTGAATTTTTAGGATTTGACTTGTTAGATACTTTAAATTGATTTTGTGCTTCATTTCTTTCGATTTCAAATAATCCTATGCAAGGAGGCAATGTTAGTTGAGAAATAGTAGTGTCTTTCTTAATTTCGTGAATGCATGGAAATTTAACACCGAACTTACTCTTAAGAATCAATTCCTGATCAATGCACCATTGTCCGCATGTAGGATGAACATTCAAGAGCTGTTTTGCATATTTCTTTTGGTTGCTTAGTTCTCGACTAACATTTGTATTTACAATTTTCGGTACATCCTTTTCTCTCTGCATTATATAATCTGAAAGGAGATGAATCATCAGCTTGAAATCAAATTTTCCTGCCGAAAATTTTTCTAAGATTTTTTGATATTGCAAATGGAAACTTTCGGCATGATTGGATGGGCCAATAAGGCATTCCCTAAAACACAGGCAGAATTTTCCTTTTTTATTAATGCAAAATTTGTTATATTTTTGAATGCATTCGATGAAATCGCATGCATTCGATGAAATCGCACTTCTTCAGTATGCCATTCTTCGAGTAATTGAGTATATTGAATAGCCTTCGCTTCATAATCCTCTTGCCTTATGGCTCTGATTGTATCCTCGATCATGCCATCCACCATGCTTCCCTCAGACAGTAGATTTAGCACATGGCGTATACAAGCCCATATGATTAATTCTTTATCTTTTGCAAACTTTTTAATTCCAGTTCCTAAATCACCAAGGAATGGAATTTCTCTGATTCTTTCGATTGTAACACCAGATTTTTCTAAAGAGGCAAAAAACAGTTTGTAAGCTTCTGCGTTTTCGGATGGACCAACATAGAAGCCCATAGGAATCCCTGTATTATAAATAACTATTTGAGGGACTATTAAAATATAATCTACAATTGGGAAGGTAGCGTCGACCTCAATCAATTGAATTTTGCAGTTCGGATTCATAAGCAATTGCGCAGATATTGGTGATACCCAAGAGACCCATTCGACTCTATGTCCTTGACAAAACATTTGATATGTTTCATTATCATCACAATAATGAACTCGCACACGTCCTGGAAGGGTTTTTAACTCATCATAAATATCTCTTTCGTCTTCTGTTTCTGGCCGGTCAATTATATTATATTTAATTAACTTCGTACGAAATTTATTTTTGGTTTGTGGGGATGGCAAAATTGATTTGTGAATTTTAAGATATGAATCTTCGTCAATCATCATGCCTTCAGGGAGATTTTTTAATTGAATTGAAAATAAATTCCCTTTAACAAGGACAATATCAAATAATGTTTTTTGTTTGTTGAGGTAATTAAGCTTTCCTTTATATATTTAAAATTGTATACTATCCTGTATCGAAATAAATCCGTTTTAGGATCTTTAACCGATGCATTTTTGATCTCCAAAAATGACGGTAAATAACTTAAAAATTCGTATACTTGAAATGGATTCAATAATTTATTTTTGTTAACAGTGAGCTCAAAATTTTTGATTTTATAAGGTATTTTGGAATTGCATTCGAAAAATAAAAGCCTTGAATATAGTCCAATATAATTCGATGATTCTGTATCATATAATTTGTTAAGAAAATTTATATCTAACATTTTATACATTGTCTCCAGATAAAATGCTTCTAAGCCAGATGCCGTTGTTATATGTTTGATACAGCTTTTTGCGGTATCCTTATTTAAAAATGTACGAAAAATAAGGAATTCATTATATTTTGCACAGTTAAGTAATACTTGCCCTTGAATTCTTCTTTCATTCAGATTATTTTGTTTTAGAAATCCGATGTAATCATGAGTTGAAATCAAAAATGGAAGCATATTAGCATTGACACAGTTTGATCCTGCCAAAATCCATTTGGGCACAGTTCCATCATTCAAAAGATCAAAGTCGAAATAAGATCCGTTGTAAATTTTAACATAATTATTAAAGTTTTTATCTTTGATGCCCTGTGCAAACTGATTGAATACATTTGTGGCAGAGAAATGCAAAGCTAAATGAGCGATATGCAAGTGATCATCAAGAAATCGAAAGTCAACATTCGAAAAGTTATATGTAGTATCATCATTTAGAAGATGTAATATTAGATTGGCTGTCGATTTATATGGATAACATGTAATTAAATCTTCATATAATATATTAATCATTTGCTTATTTGTTTTTACATCATCTTTTATGTTTGATCTACCTTTCAAATTATAGAAACTGCATTGTTGAATTGTCTGGAAGTCTAAGTATTTATCGACCACATAAAGAAAAAAAGCAAAATTATTGTCAATAAAGATTTTCATATCATTACACTCCCATATTGTAATGTATGTATAAATAATGATCTCCAAAAGATCAAGCCTTTTTATGGCAAGATTGGAGAAATAGTTGATATAAACAAAGCAAGGAATTTTTTGAAATTGCTCATAAGAAATTCCGGCAACACTAAGAGCTTGAGCAATATCGGTGTGTGTGTAAGCCAGTATGTTTTTTTCGATTTCTTTGAGTAATATGGAAATTGTGTTCAAATCTAGGTAGTTGGTACAGTTAATATACTTGAAAGGATCAATTGCTTCGATTTTTGGTTCTTCAACAAAAAAAGGCTCGCGGGTCTCATCAGGAACCATGTCCTTAGGAGTCTGGGCCATAAGCGAATTTGAAATAATAAACGGATATTAAACTGAAATACAGAGAGATAAAAATATTTAAAAATATAAGGAAATGAATCAAAAAAATATAATTAAAAAGATTTAAAAGTTAAAAAAAAGGAAAAAAAATTTAATAAATGATTAGGTAGAATGTGATGTGAATGCGTAAGGAATATATATAAGAAATTATAGTGTTGGATGTCAAAGAGAGACTGAGTGTTGGATGTCAAAGAGAGACTGAGTGTTGGATGTCAAAGAGAGACTGAGTGTTGGATGTCAAAGAGAGACTGAGTGTTGGATGTCAAAGAGAGACTGAGTGTTGGATGTCAAAGAGAGACTGAGTGTTGGATGTCAAAGAGAGACTGAGTGTTGGATGTCAAAGAGAGACTGAGTGTTGGATGTCAAAGAGAGACTGAGGTAAGGATGACTTTTTGTCTGAGGTAAGGATGAGTCAATGACTGAGGTAAGGATGAGTCAATGACTGAGGTAAGGATGAGTCAATGACTGAGGTAAGGATGAGTCTATGACTGAGGTAAGGATGAGTCAATGACTGAGGTAAGGATGAGTCAATGACTGAGGTAAGGATGAGTCAATGACTGAGGTAAGGATAAGTCAATGACTGAGGTAAGGATAAGTCAATGACTGAGGTAAGGATGAGTCTATGACTGAGGTAAGGATGAGTCAATGACTGAGGTAAGGATGAGTCAATGACTGAGGTAAGGATGAGTCAATGACTGAGGTAAGGATGAGTCAATGACTGAGGTAAGGATAAGTCAATGACTGAGGTAAGGATAAGTCAATGACTGAGGTAAGGATGAGTCTATGACTGAGGTAAGGATGAGTCAATGACTGAGGTAAAGATGACTTTTTGTCTGAGGTAAGGATGAGTCAATGACTGAGGTAAGGATAAGTCAATGACTGAGGTAAGGATAAGTCAATGACTGAGGTAAGCATGAGTTGTTGTCTGAGGTAAAGATGACTTGTTGTCTCAGCTAAGGATGAGTTGTTGTATGAGGTAAGGATAATTTATTCTCTTCACTACCTATTACTGACGGGTCCATGGTAGTATTCATTTTATTTTTATCGTTTTATTTTCCTTCAATTTCAACTCTAAGCATCAACTATCACACAATAGTTCCTCTACCTTACACCCAACCAATCCCATATTGAATCTTAACTTTTCCTCCTGATATTGATAAAATAAATTTCAATTGTTCGTTTCCAGATCTTGTTAAAGAAAAAAATTCACTCCTCTTAGATACAAAGAGAACTACTCTATCTAAATTTTTCAAAAAAAATACATTTTCTTATTTTACATATTAAAAAGTACCAATTTTTATTTCAAAATTTGAAATTTATGATTTTTTTGGAAAACTTTTCGATTTTCTGACACGGTAGATGCTTTTTATTTTATACACTATGCCTAAAATTAATTTTTCAAACTAAAAAATCCTAATTAGATAATTTTTCAAATATTTAATCAGTTAAATTGAATATTATTAAACTATGTTATTATTTAAATAATTTCCATCTTTTGTAATGCATCAGCACATTACCTGAAAACTTTTTAATCATTCTAGAACAAACCAACATCGTATAATCCCATCATAGCTAATCATCCATTACAATTCTGCCTATTCAAGAGCTCGTGGTGAATTTCCTAAGTTCATTCCCATTCAAAATAAAGATATTCAACAAATTTCTTCCAAAAGAACTTCGTAAACTAACTAACAAGAATAACATCTTCCATTATTTTCAACATAAATACATTTTCAAAGAATAAAATGTTCTTTAATGATTTTTTATTTGGTGAGAAATCTTGCAACATTATTCTTTCATACTCAACTTCAATACAACAACTAACATATGATAGTTGGAAAAAATCACATAATAGAGCAGGTAAGTATTGTGAAGCTGAACTTTTATTTATCTGGTGTGATATGACCAAGCGAGGGACTCAGACTGCTGTATCTGTGGAGCAACATGACCAAGCGAGGGACTCAGACTGCTGTATCTGTGGAGCAACATGACCAAGCGAGGGACTCAGACTGCTGTATCTGTGGAGCAACATGACAAGGTGATTCAGTTTGCATTGATTGATAGTTCAATATCAGACCAATACTTCTCTTCCATGTTGCGGGCATGGCGAGGCATTTTCAAGATTGGTACCGAAATTGGCTACTATCCCTAAATGCAACAATCATAAATGACACTTTTATCAAAAAACGTGTTTAATTCAAATTTGGCGGGCTTTTGGTCGTAGATTAATTTAACTAATATGAATTTGGATTGTGCTTTCCTTATTGATGTAATGATATTTTCACTAATAAAAAATGAAATATACACAAGAAAAAATTATTCAAAAATTATCATTGCATTTTATTTGAAGAAATTTTGAAAACACATCATACACATACTATAAATGAATATTATCATCTTAATTTTAATAAATTTCATTTACTTGGAAAGATGCAAGATCATCTTGTACTTACTCTTCGATTTATTCCATGTAACTTCGCAGGTAATAATGGCGCACTTACCTCTATTTTGGATTTTTATAGTTTCCCTCAAAACACAAGTAGTATATGAGGAGGGTTGTGTGACTTTTTTTGTAAACGTAAGAATTCATACAATATTGAACGATTTTGTATCATTTTTT